TGCTTTAGGCTTCTCTGCTTTCCTCTGCTCTTAACAGTTGCCACCTTTTGCCCCCGGTGTTTCTGAGCGCCCTGTCTGGTGTCTGGGCCTTTTTACTGTTCTGCGGACCTCAAAACCCTTCCTTTTCACTAAGCTTTGCTCTCTTTTCTCATGCACCCACGGCAGCGCCACGGAGCGGTAACTTCCCTTTGCCAAATGGCAGAGTTTTCGGGTTACTTCTGGCTCTGCTTTCAAATCTCGCCAGAGGTTGGACAATGAAAACCATTGATCTCCTATATGCAGGGTTTTCCTCAAACTGCTGTGGTTTGGGAGCAACAAAAAGATGCTCTAAGACGTGTCTTCCACGTGGCACAGCACCCCGCCAAGCCTGTGCCTCTACTCAAGCACTTGCTTAAGTTTAATTAACTTCTGCGACGCCTGTGCCTTCCCGAACAGGGGCTGTTTCCAGAGCAGAGCCTTTGCTGCAACGCATTTTGCTTGCACATTGTTTCAGCTGTTCTCAGGCCAACCTTGCGCAGCGACAGACAAAGTGGATTGCAACAGAATGAGCAAAGACAGAGCCGCAGAGCGGTGCCGCATGATGTGACTTCCCACAGGACAAGCCAAGACGGGAAAGGAGCCAGGCTGTTAGCCAGTACCTAGAAGACACGTGGGATTGTGTGGGGCTCTTGGCTTCACAGCTCTTCACCACTGATGGGTTTCTACAGCAATGGAATGAAAGGAGACGTGAGTTGTGCACATGCCATGGGGACAGCAGGGCTAGCCAGGCTGCCAGCCCACGCAGCTCACCTCGAGAGCAGCGAGGACACAGGCTTTTCAACAGAATTGCTCCTTTCCCATGGCTTCTTTCCAGAGTCTAGAAAACAACAACAACAAAACATTCTTTTTTTTTTTCTTAACAATAAAACTCCTGAAATTGATTGTCTTACTGCTTTTATTCAATGAGGATGAGGGACTTAAAAAGACCCAGGAAAGCTGGAGTGCTGGATGAGCAGAGATGCCTGCTTCTCAGAGAAAGCACTGGCCAAAATCTGTGTAGCAATCCCTTTAAACAGGGACCCAGTAGTTAAATGATACCAAAAGCAGATGAAACTGGAAAAGCAAGAGGAAGAGCACAAATCATTTGTATTAAGACATGCAGACTAATTGCTTCAAGGCTTATTTTGTTCAGTATAATATTTATTTATATTTTAATTTAAGAAGTCTTCTGTTTCTTGTCTGCATAGTTGGTAGAAAAAGTGGGTGTAACTGAGAAAAGACAGGTGCAACCCCTGCTATGTAAATCTTCGGGGAATTTATTTAGTTTTATTTTCATTTCTACTTTTCAAAAGCTGCACCACATCTTGCTATTGCAAAGGTGTACTCTCATCCCAATCTTCCCTCAAGAAAATTGTTCAAAATAAAGTGTTCTATTACAGATACTTCAACAGCGCCCAGCTGGTGCACAAGCACAAGGTTTGGCTCCTCTGTGAGGTCCTGAAAAGTTCTTTAGAAGAATTATGGCCATTCCTAGGAAATCTCCCCATCTTGTTCCTCACTTATATGCACCTTTCTCTTGGCTTCTTCCCCTTCCTTGCAGAGCAGGCAAATAATGGCTTTATTCCAAAAGGAAACTGGAATGGTTAAATGCTCCTTCCCTCGGGAGAGATTTCCTTTTTTGTGTATGAAATCCAGGGCTGAGGCAAGAATGAATCTGACTGGCTTGCAGTTTATCAGAGGCACAATAATTTCAAATCAGCATAGGAAAAACATATTTTAAGCACTGCTTTAATTTCATCTACTCTTATAACTCAACACTGCCTTAATTTAATCTATTCTTGTAACTCTCAGGATCAGGCCTCCTGCAACAAGCTACTAGCTTAAGGAAGGATCATAGTCTAGCATGAAAATTTTAGCTGTATAAAGCAGGACAGCTCCATCAGCCAAAGGGAAAGAATGGGGGGATTTGCTCATAGAGGAATCAGGGGCAGAGAAGATTCAGATGCTCAGTTACGTATCTGGGCCTGTATAACTAGATATTTTTTTTAGTTGCTTTGTTTTTCTCTTGGCTATGAAGAGTATGAAGACACCACTTCACGCTGAATACAGTTATGGAAACACCAGCTATTTGGAAATGTTCTGTTCGTTACCACTCTGGCATTCCGGAGTAGGACACTGCACCCAGATTCCTGCAGTGAGACTCTCAACTAGCTTAAGACGACACCTGAAACAGTAGTAGTTAAATTTAATACCTGAAGAATTCTGCTGTTGCTGGGTGGGACCTCGTGTAACGGGGGAAGGAGAGGTGCTAGCATCGTCCTAGGAAGGAAAAAACAAGATGTTTCTTGATTTTGGAGATGAACCACAGACGCCTCTTCTACTTTGGAGACCAGGCAGAGCACGAGCCGGGCAGAAACAAGTTTCTTCCTAGCATATAGACTTAGGCACGTTTAAACTTTGACATGTCTCTGTCTTAAATATAAGAAAATCTCTCTATTTTCATGGATGCTTTTCCACTAAAGAACTGAATTGCTTTCATCCCTGTAACAAACCTAGACTGAATTTCCCCTGACAAATCCTGGCTGCTGATGTATAAATACAAACCATCCATTTCCCAAATCTAGAAGCTCTCTGCAATACAGAAATCGAGCCATCTCAGCAAATGCTAGGTCAGATCCTGGCCTTTTAGCCCAGCACAGCCACTGACCTCAGTGAGCAATCCAGTTACTAACAGGACACAGGGTAACTTAATCTATTGATACTCCTACTAACTAGAAGATTAAATACCACATCAGGGATTTGGCCTCTGCTATCTGGGACTTAAATAAGCGTGACAGAACATTGAACACTGACCCATATACTTGACATGTCAGTATTATTTACCAGCCCTCAAAGCACACTCAGGCAAAACGTTACTCGCGTGTGGTAAAATGAACCTGCACAGAAGAGGACAGAAGATCCCCCCACCACAGTGTGATCTGCCACCCAAAACAAGCAGGTGCCCTTGAAAAACATCTTCCTGGACTGTTTGGTGCTACTAAAAGTTGGGGGATGCAAACGAGACAGAGCTTCAAGGCGAAAGTAAATGGCAGAAACACGGCAGGGGCCCTGAAGCTAAACAGCACCTTTCATCCCTGAATGAATGGATCAAAATCAGTTTTGGGGCAAGATTAAGGATTAATACTTGCACAGCAGAATCAAGGATTGAACAGGCAAATTCCAAGCCTGAAGCATCCCTCCAGGAACACTCCCAAAATAGCCACTTTCCTCCTTAAACAGCGCAAATGCTTATTCCTTTTCAGGCTACAGATCTCTCTGAATGGGGGCAGCCTCTGTTTCCTGAACGGCTTTTCCCTGAGCAGCAGTGATCTCGTCCCTGGTGGGAATATCTCTGTGTGGGTGATGTGTTGGGTGGAAGATGCTCCAGCCACAGCAGCGAGCCTCCCGGAGCCACCTGGATGAGTTAGTTATGATCAGCAGCCCCGGCAAGCACGGTGGGAAGGGACACAGCTCCAAGCCTCTCCTGGCATGGGAAAGATCTCCCATGCTGTCCTGGTTCAGCCCGTAGAGAGAAGTTCTTTAAACCGCAGGCTGAATTTGAAATTGCAGCATCTTTTACAAGCAGCAAGTTCACCTTAAAAGCTGCATCAAACCCAAACTCCTGTGCAATTGCTTCTGTGGGCAACATACACACAGAAATGCATCGAAATTCCCCTCCATTTGTCCAACTTCCATGTTGTTTTACAGTGAGTGTTATGAACATGCATTTTAACTTTTGAATGGTCTAGTGGTTAATCTACTGCTCCCCTTCCCACCTCAGTGGCATGTTTAAATGCAGCCTGGGCTCCAAAGCGAGCTGATTTTGCTTTGCATGGAGCATGGCAACACAGAACTACCCGCCGTGGCCAACAATCCTGCTCAGCCCAGCTGAGGCCACAAGTACAAAGCACACACCGTGGACCTGATCGCAGGTGACTTGCAATAAAGGTTTGTGACATCTTCTTGAGGAGCAAGAGCCTACAGTACCCTAAAATATTCAGAGCAGACCATGAAAAAGCACCTAGTGATGTGGTTTGGATCTATCCAATATCTCAATATCTCAGTATCTCTCCTATGAATAAGACGACAATTCTTGTTTCCAGTGTGCTCTTACTAGAGCAGCTAATTTCACTGCTGATTCCACATACAAACACATTACCGGATCAGCAGCGATCTCCTGACACACACGTGAACGCATGCAGGCCTTTCGCTTGCAAGGCAGCATATTTGCAAGAGCACAACAGCAAAGAATCCTTCACTTACATTTTGGCTTTCCTCTTCCTTTTTGTCAGCTGGCTTGTCTGACTGCGATGCTGCTTTCCTCCTTTGCAAAGGAATATGAAATAGGACACAGAGTCAGCCCTCTAGAAACACCCTCTGCAGCAGGCACCTGTCTCCACCTGAAGGCTGATTCATGCTTTGGTGGGAGTCACTATTTACTCAGTTCATCTTAGGGAATTTGACACAGATAGAGTAAGTTTGTCTAGGATTTGGATGACAGTGAGGAAGCCAAAATTTAGTGTTATGAATCAGGGAGAAGGGCAATATGTTGAGGCAGTGTTTAATACGATACAGGGTGCACAGCATAAAAAACATGTCAAAGCAGATGGAGAAGTGCATTTGGGCATGAAAATGGAAAGAAAGGGAAAACTTCTTTCTAGGGCTCAGGAACCAGCTGCTTCTGGAAGAAACAAAAACACCCCCAGGCTGGTCAGGCAGGTATTTGAGTGAGGGCCAAACTGCCTTCTCAGGCACGTGCAATATCATTTTTATGGTTGTTTTATATCCCCCTATCCAACCTAGAGGCAAATTCTTTGTTTTCAAGCACTAAAGAAATGTGCCATGTACTGATCCTCTGGACATCCAATTTCCCACTCAAGACTATAGGGGAGCTGCTCCTCTGCCTCCCCATGCATTTCGCTTGTGATGATCAAATCCACCTGCAAACACCACCTTTTGTAGATTTTTTTTCTTAACACCAGTATGACAGATTTCTTATTTAGTCTTGATTCTAAAGTGGACAAAATTTATCCCATAGGAAAAATAACAATAGATCTCAAACTGATTTTAGAAAACTTCTTAGCTAAAAAGACCTCCCAACATGTCAAAGGATTTGTTTTTTAACATATCATTGACAAAAGGAATGTCTCACTGGATTGTCAAATTGGAGGTTTTGACATAAATTCAACAAAAAAATAGAGGAATAAAAAACATGCATGTTTTTATAGGACATGGTGTGCTTTAGGAATTATTTATAGACATTCAAATGAATTAATATTTTTTTGTAGCAGATAAAGAATAGTTTTTATCTTTAGTTGCTATTTCTGAGGAACAAAGGTTATAACAGTTATAAGCCTGAGCCATGAAAATATATTAGCCAGGGAGAGAGATCAATGTTAGATTATGTCTTTGTTTTTGTCTTACAACAAACTTAACAGCGTTAAAAATGACAGTGGTTTGTGAGGTAGTTCATTACTCTCTTGCAGTTTGGTTCTGAAACAAACAGCCACTCTCGTGGGGCACAATGTTTGTAGAGCACAATATTTTATATCACCAGAGATCTCAGAGTCACTTCTCTCTATTACTTACTCAGAGTTAGAAACATCCTTTGCTTCTGAGCACATGTTTTGTTAAAAGGATCTCTGAGATCATTGCTCAGTGATCTTTGTATTGAACACACTCGATTTGAAAACACCATTTTTCCCCCAACTGCCAGCTCTGTAAAAGTAACCTGAGACACAGGGTCGAAGGGTTTGCAGTCAGGATGCTCTCCGAGTACCAGTTTAACAGCATGTCCAGATTGACACTTGCGTATTTTCAGTAACGCCCATGGTTTTGTGAAGCAGAACTTACTTAGCAGACAATTCTGCCGATGGCAGAAACCTGGAGAAGGGATTTGCAGCTCAGTTGATTTCTCAGTCTTGGCTGCACAGAGCTCACTCAAGTGGATGTATTTTTGTTAAAATACCAAAGGGATTTGACCCTGAACAAGAGAAGAATCTGGATGCCACTGCTGAAAGCCAGACTTGTGTATATTTTAGACTAGAACCACAGACAAAGACATGGCTATCTGTAGCGATTTCGGTACCCCAGCATAAGAAATATCAATTTAGGCTGCATGTTTGAACAGTTAGTTACCCCAAAATCTAGTCACCAAACCTGACTTGGCTTATAGGCTTCTGCCAGTTCTGCAAGGTCAGTCTTGACATGTAGCAGCACAAAATAGATCAGAAGTCGAACTAGTAAATAACTACTTTAATTAAAAGCTATTAAAACTATTTTAATTTTAAGAAGACAGAAAATTATACGCTTGATGTTTTACACTGCTGGTTACTGTTTCTGCAGCTCTGTGTCTTTACTTAATGCTTTCCAAAGGATTAAATCCATGAACGATCTTCAGATTTCCTTCTGAAGTGACCAGGAGGAAAGCTGGAATCAGACCCACTGAAGACACTATTTTTTTTATCGTAGACAGCATTATTTAAGAACTTTACTACTGCGCACTAGACAACTGTAACTACACTTCATCGCCTTACTCATCCTTTTCTTTCACTACTCATGTAAAAAAGTCTTCAGAGGTAAAACTAGAAGACATAACACCAGCAACTTATGAGTTACAATCTGATACAACATTATAGATGGAAGCTGGGGGGGAAAAAGAAAGCAAAAATAATTGAAATGGAGTGGCTTTACATATCTCATAGCTTGATAAATCACAGCCTTGGTGGAGAATAACTTGTTCAGACCATATTGAGCACACTAAAGATCAATAATAATTTCTCCGCCAAGATGCTGTCCTATTATTGCACTTCTGAATACATTTCTGGGCCCAACATCCTGGAAGGGCTGCATAAAAAATTACTAGTCTAAATTCCTTTCATATTTTATTCTTACAGAAGACAGTAACTTTGAAATAGATTTGGTAAATTAGCAAAATCATACAGGATACATTCATCAGTGTCATGGAAGATTACCGCTCTGCAGGATTTGTGACAGCAGCTAAACTCTGTGCAGGATCATGGCTGTGTCACCCATGCATTTGCATTAAATGCCAGGGGGCTCTGGCAACCAACACGTATACAAGATCTGCCGAATTGCAGAGGCACCGAAGTGACCGTTGTTCATTGCAAAAGACAATAACTTGTTCAACAATTTGCTGCTGATTTCACGTTAGTGCTTACTTGAAGGCTAAATACAAACCTTTTTGCCAGTAATTTATTCATTTCTTCCATGAGTCCTCCTCCGCCTCCTCCGCTACTTGTTCGATTGGCATCGCTCTTGGAAACCCCACTGGGACTGGACCCTCCTGAACCATCTTCTGGCTTAAGACAGAAACCAACATTGCGGGTCATAAAGAGAATTTAATTTCAGACTGTGCCCTTAATGATTAATTTTTATACTTATTAGGAGCAGTGATCACAGCACAGAATAAAACGAGAAGTTGGCTGTATTCTGTGCTGGAAAGGAGACCCACACAGCCCATCCAAATCTCCAAACCAGACCACAAGGATGAGGCAAATACACGAGCAGGTGCTGAAGAAAAACAGACTGCTCCTTGTCCACGATTACGTTTTGCAACCCTTACCTAAGCAGCTGTCTACACATGAGGCCTCAACAGCCTAAACTGTTTTTCAGTGCGGTCCATGTAACCTGCTCATGATGACTGTAAAACCCCAGCAGACGCGGGAGTGCCCAAGCCATGTCCTTACCC